TAACCTCAAATGGTGAACATTTCTATAGTGTTGTTTTACAGTGTTAGTCTTACCTGTTGATACCAATATACTAATCCATTACGAGTCTCTTCCCACCGGTTGCACTCTCATTGTATCAGCCTCAATCTCCTTGTTTATAAAAGTCTTAAATTTAATATTCTCATCAAACTGGGCCTCACATAGGAACTAGATGTAAAAAAAAACACATTTAATTAATTTTAATTAATTAATCCATGGAGGGATCAGAAAAGCATCCTATGTCTGTTGTGCTCTGTTTACTCTTGCGTCAAATGCAGATTAGTTAATTTGCATCCCATACTGATAAATTCAAGAGCAATCATGATGCAGATTGAGAAAACATCTTTTTTTCTAATATTTTTTTTTAGCACATGAAAAACATTTCTTTAAACTTTGATGAAACATTATAGCCATCGATAATTAAAACATCAGAATTATGTTAGGATACTACTCAAATATGAGTTTTATTAAATATAAATAAACATTTAGAGATTTTAGATGAGGTATATTTATTGTGTCTTATCAGATCAATAACAATTTATTTGTAAACAGCAAGTGAATATTGTAAAACTACCAGTATAAAATGTTTGACAATGGATTATCCCTTGATTAGTAGTATATTTATACAACAGATACTAACATATCGTGGCAAAATGCACAAGGTTTTCTTCCAATATGCACGTTTTTACATTTTAACGTTTTATTTCAACAATAACATTTTTTTAATCATTTAATTATTATTTTTATATTGATAGTAAATACACAGATTAGTTGCTGGCCACAGTGATTGTATAGCCTAGCATTAGAAGTTCATCTACAACACTGTATAAGCACTCAGCAGGTACCTGAAAGAGAATCTATTGGTACTAGAAAATGGCCACACTTAAAAAATGGTTCAGTTCAGGCACAATATACTGCATGAAAAAAAATATACGCCATTAGTGTACAATTCTAACAATGTTTTAGCAGACATAAACCAATCAACTCACACATATAACATATTATTTACAGAAAAGGCAAAAAGCGTTCATCGTTCTTTCTCTGACTCAGTTGACCTATTGACCTACTGACCTTCAGTATGTCCACTTTCACATCAGCCTCCATCTCAGCATATCCCAGTTTTTGCAATTCCCAGTATGCAACATTGGACACATTCCATGTGAACTGTAAGAAAATCCCAAAGGTGTTTATTACATATTTAACGCTTTTCAATATAACATAGTATGTAATGCAAGTAGCTTTCCACCCACTGACGTTGTAAGACAGTTTTAGACACCCACATATACTTTTAAATATCACCCCCCATAATCCTAGAATAATAAAGCAAAGCTACAACTGATATGCTAATTACATGCAAATCAGACCACCTATCTTGAGCATTTTATTGGTGTAGAGATCATAAAATATTTTAGGAATTGTCAATGCAACATTTATACATGTACGAAATTAACATATGACATTTAACACTGTGGTATCCAATTGCATTTTACATGAAGAATCAGATTGCATGGTGCTATAATCCAACATGGCTGATACTGTGTCTCTTCAAAA